CTGCCATTTTGACTCTCAGAGAGATTGTAACATAGTGAAAAGTGAGGAAAAATGGCACTGTGACAGTGGAATAGAATTATAGGCTTCCTTTTTAATACACTGTGAATCCACTTTCATGTCCACTGTGTCATTCAAAAATAAATAAATAACAAATAAATGAATGAAACTCTAACTGTATTAAACACGGGCTTTTTTTCCAGTGCTGAGTTTGTGACATTTGTAGTCTGCCTCTACTCTAAAGCCAGGAGTGGGCTTACACTTTCAGGTCCAGCTAGAACCAGTCCTGCAAATCTGGACTGTACCCCTTAAAGCCAGATTCACCATTCACTTCCCCAAGGTCAAAGTGATTCTCTCATGCAAGTGAAAGGGCACATCACCAGAATACTGAAGACCAGAAGAGACAGCAAATGCTATTTGCTATGCCCAGCTTTCACATATTTTCAGCTCCACACACCTCTAACTTTGTTTCTAATTTTAAAGCTTTTGTAAGTTGAATATGTGAATTGCTCTAAAAAGAACGTGCTTCTTCTGCTTTTCTCCCCCAGAATTTTAGCTAGTTACTGTAGATAAAATGACCGTCAAGTGCAGGAACGTGGCAGCAAGCAGGTAGGCATGGTTGGTGGAGCAGTAGTGGAGATAATACAGCCATGAGGCAGAAAGAGAGCGCTAACTGAGAATGCTGAGGGCTTTTGAAACTTCAAAGCCTTGTGAGTGACACTCCACCCAGAAGGCCACACCTCCTAATCCTTCCCCAATAGTTCTACCAACTGGGGTCCAAGTATCAATCATGAGCCTATGAGGGCTGTTCTCATTCAAACACCCATACTTTCCATGACAGCGTAAAAGGTTTAGTTTCTTTAGTTGCTCTCATCATCTCATTAACAGAATGCTTGGCAGAAATAACTTGAGGGGGCAAGTCATCGTTTTATATCTCAGTTTCTTAACTCTGAGTTAGGATAGAAATATATGGACAATTTGAGGGATATAAGAAGGGAAAGGAGCCCCTCATGCAGGAATCTAATATTTCTTCACACTAATGACCTCTGTGGTTGTGGTGTCCAGCATGTGTGTGGCTCACATACAAACATTCAGAAACTATATACATATATATATATATATATATATGTGTGTGCATATATATATTCCATGTATATATACAAGTATGTATATATACACATATACACACATATATATAATGTATTCATATATACATACATATATATGTATATGGGATAGACGCATTTGGGTGAATATTTGGTACTGCAGGTCATTGTCTTCTACAGTGAAGATCTTTCTCAGATGCCTTAGCAGTACTTGGCTCTGTTAGGTAGGGAAGATCTTCAAAATACCCATTTTGAACATACTAAATTTCATATGCTAGTTAGATATACAAGTGGAGACTTGGTGTGAGGCAGTTATGGTTGTGGTGTTTAAGAGGGAGGCCTGGGAATTTAGTGGTTTGCTAGTGTTCATATATCTTAGTCCAAGTGCGCTCAATCAGATACGAATGTTTAGTTGGAAGCTCCACTCCAGCATCACTCTGCCCCCATTCAAAACCCTGCCCCTTCTCAGAAAGCCTGCCAAAAGGTAGCTCCTCCCCATGAGATGCTCAAGACCATACTACAGGGTATTTAAGGCCCAGTCACCTGCCATGTGATTTCTCTCCTGCTTTCTTCCCCCGAGAATCACCCAGGAGTTGCTTTGCTTTGTTTATTAAACCTGGTCTTATTAATTTGGTTTCATTTGGATTACCATGTCAATGGAGAGACTTCATATTGGGGTACTGAAACCTTTCAATGACTATGTAAAGAATGTAGGTAGAAAACAGATCGGATGCACTCCGCCATTGGGATCTGAGGAATTTCCTGTTGTCTTGAATTTGTCATCAGTAGAGAAATGTTATTTGAAATGATGACTTCTCCATGTAGAGCAGTGAGTCTCAACCTTCCTAATGCTATGACCCTTTAATGCAGTTTCTCATGCTGTGGTGACTCCAACCATGAAGTTATTTTTGTTGCTACTCCATAACTATAATTTTGCTACTATTATGAATCATAATGTAAGAATCTATATTTTTCAGTGGTATTATGTGACCCCTGCAAGAGGGTCATTCAATTCATTAGGGGGCCATGACCCAAAGGTTGAGAATCTCTGATGGTCAAGAAAAGGATGCAGTGGATAGTTTTCTATAGTAGCTTCAAACCTCCCAGATGTTGTGTCTTTACTAGAGACACAGGCCTCATTCTCCACGAATTCTAAGCCAAGTATGCAATAATGCAGAGATTTTCACTAAGGGACCTCTTTGACATCCCTTCTCCCCAAGAACATTTGACAGTGTAGGGGATTTTATTATTCTGAAGGGTCTACTGCCATCTAGTGGGTGGAAGCCAAGTTTGTTGATAAGCAGCCTGCAGTGCCCATAGCAAAAATCACCCATACCCCTGCCTTGTAGTAGTGTTGTTGTGAAGAAACATTAACATTACCTGTGCTACTTTTCTTCTATTTGTCACAGTTGAGAAAAGAACTCTGCGAGCTGCAATATTTGAGAATAAAGGTTTGTGTGCTAAGTTACACAAGCACTGGTTACTGTGAAATTTGACCTAAGGAGTTGTTCTGGCTCTCAATCTTTGCCACAGTGTTTGTTTCGTTCCTAGTGATAATGTGAATCCATGCACAAAATAAGAGATATAAATTATCTTTCTGTGGCTAAAAGCTTGGGACCAGTGTGAGAAAAGCACATCACATATACTTTATGTTTTGGGTTTTTTTTGTTTTGTTTTGTTTTTTGTTTTTTGTTTTTTCCTTATATGGTTTCATTTTTGCCCAAATGATGGCAAAGGAACTTTGTTTTAATTAGATTAATTTTTCACAGCCCAGATGAATCATTTCACAGATGTTCTTTTGAAATAAATGTGCTAGGTTGTCAGACAATATTAGTCAGTTTTTGTCACTTTGTTGACACATATAAGAGAAACTTCCGGTGAAATTTGCACATCAGATTCTGCTTTGTGCTCCTTTAGCCCTCTAATATAAAGGTGTTGTTAAGTTGTAGCTGAGGTGCCAGCGACAGTTGATGGTTGTCAGGAGAAAGTGTCAGGTTTTTAACTGGTGTAGTCCCTAAGAAATTGACCATGCTCCAATGCATAGTCCCATGTATATATGGACAGTACTAATTAGACTCAGTATGATATACGTGTATATATGTATTAACGTGTGTGTGTGTGCGTGCGCGCGTGCGCGTGTGTGCGTGTGTGTGTGTGTGTGTGTGTGTGTGCAGATGGGAATGGGGGATCTGTTTGGAAGGAGTTGAGGGGAAGAGTGTGCTGTGAAAATTATTGAAATGCATTATTTGCATCTATAAATTCTTTTTTGTTGTTGTTTTCAAGACAGGGTCTCTCTGTATAACTTTGTCCTGGAACCTGCTCTATAGACCAGGCTGGCCTCCAACTCAGAGATCTGTTTGCCTCTGCCTCCTGAGTGCTGGGATTAAAGGTGTGTGCCATCATTGCCTGGCTTGCATGTATAAATGCTTAAAGAATATATTTTTTTTAAAAAAAAATGCTTTAAAAGGGTTGGTATAGGACCTTAGGAATGCAAAGTAAATGATACCAACACATTAGCAAGTAATGTCAGTTTATACAAACATGTTTAAAGAGATTGTTTTCTTTCAAATACGAATATAGAAAGGGTAATAGAGAAATGTATAAATAAAACATCTCTACTGAATATAAAACATTATGAAAATAAATGTGATTAAAATCTTAAAGGTAAAATTTTATTTACATATACATTTATTTACATATAAATTTACATGATTTTATTTACATGTAAATAACTAGAGAAATCTTTATCTTCAGTTCTGAAATGAAAACTATCAAATTATTAAAATTCTACTGTAAGGTATGAATCTTTAAAATAAAATAAGTGACTGAATGAATGCTGATTTTGGACGTGTGGCTCTGAAAGTATGTGCAATCTCTAAACTTTTAGGTCACTTAGAGAGTAGTGGCAGCACCCTTGGTATGACATGGTCAATGCATGCTTCTTAGGCATATGGAGGAAGTTTTCCTTGGCCCTCCTTGGAAGAGGTAGGCTGTTCATAGGCTATTTCCAGGAGCAAGGATGCTGTCTACTCAGGTGTTTCTCTAAAAGGGTCCTCCTCATCAGCCTTGTCTAATTCATCACATCCTCAGATTGTGTCAGCATTAAAACAAATCTAGGTAGGTGTCTGCCACTAGCAGAAACAACTAGATCCTAGCAGATACTGTTAAGGTTTGAATCTGCTTACATGTTAAAGGCTGCTTTGCCAACTGGTAGGGCGCCATGCATTGATTGAGTTGTGAGAGTTCACTTAATATGGGTTATTCCATTGATGGACACACAGTTTGATGGCCTTATTGGGAGATGGTGAAGACTTAAGAGGTGGGCTTAGTTATAGGAAGAAGGTCACTGGAGACATTACACTTTTGAAGGGAGTGTTGTCGCTGGTCCCTGCCTGTCCTCTCTCTTTCTCCTGTCTGCCACGAAGTGAAGGTACTCCGGTGCGCACTGACCACTGTTATGTGTGCCTCACTATGCTTGGGCCAGAAGAAGTGAGAATGAGTGAGTGACCATGGACTGAGATCCCAGAAACCATGAGCCAAAGTAATTCTTTCCACCTTTATGTTATTTCACGTCTTTGTCAGAGGGAGGAGAAGCTGGCTATCTCGGGAAAATGACCTGGTCTAGAGAAGGCAAAGGCAGCAAGACTCTTGCTGTCGAGGGCTGAGGCTCTCTTCACAGGACTAGGTCCCCACACCCAAGTCTTATTTTGTATTAATTAAGGTAAGTGTCCTGCTGAAAATTCCTATACAATACCTCCTGCCTGTGTTCCTGGGCATGAAAGAGTGTTTCTGTTCTGATTTCAGTTGATCCCTTTTCCTGATGTTAATGAGTAACACAACCTTGTTGATACCAAAGTTCCACATTCACTTTCCTTAAGCAGAAAATAACTTCAAGGAGGTGACATACGTGGTTTTGATACCATCTCAAGCCATGGACTTTTGGGGAGTACTTCTCGTTTTGGCCTGCCTGGAGAAAAGTTGGGGACAAGAACAAATGTAAGTGAAGGGAAGCATCTTCATTTTATAGTGCTTGTCAGTAGTGGTGTGATCAGTAGGCATCAGATTGTGGGAATCTGACACACCAGGTGTGTGTGCTCATCTAAATGAGAGAGTGGTGGGATTGCTTGTATCAGTGGGTGGCCAGGAAAAAAACTTAACTATAAAATAATATATATGCAAACACACACACATACACACACACACACACACTTTTTGTTTTGCTCATTTGTATTTAGTGCTTAGTTTCTTTGTGCTTTTTATGACTTTGCTACAGTTAAGCCATAATAACTTGGGGATTAGCTCCTTTTTAAAATTTGCTTATTTTAATTTTTTAAAAAAATCATACAATATATTTTGATCATATTCTTTCACCTCCCACAATTCCTTCTAGATCTTCCCCTACCCAACTTCTTGTTCTTTTTCTTGCACAAAAAAAAAAAAAAAAAAAAAAAAAAAAAAAGCAGTAGTGTTGGAACCTGGGTCAGAACCTGGGCTCCCATGATTCAGGTTGAGAAACACTCTGGATTCTTTCTACAGATGTGCATGGGTTCTCACTGAAAGGCGGCTCCTCACTTTTTCTGAAAAGAGAATAAGTGTATCACAAACATGGGAATGGATCACTTGGTGGATTAACTGGGGCAGTAACCACCTGTTGAGCATGCACTATGTAGCAGGCAGTGCAGTGTGGCAGATGGAAGAGCTTTCATCATAGCGGGAGAATTGGGTACTAAGTGAATGACCCAATGAGAGATTGCATCAGTAAGGATGTGTGGGGGATAACGGTGATGGGAGATGTCATTCTGTATATGTTCTCATACTGGTTTAATGAATAAAGCACCGTTGGCCAATAGGAAAGCAAGATAGGCGGGACTAGGAGACAAGGAGGAAAGAGGAAGTAGTAAGGAGGAGTCAAGATGGAGAGTCAGGAGAAAGCAGTATGCCGGCCGGCTCCCTGGTAAGAGAAATACATATATCAGCAGAAATGGGTTAATACTTAAGACAGAGCTAGCCGATAAGAAACAAGTACCTGGCCAACAGAATTGTATCTAATACAGAGTCTCGGTGTATTATTTGGGGCTGCCATTCTCAGCGTGTGTGTGTGTGTGTGTGTGTGTGTGTGTGTGTGTGTGTGTGTGTGTGTGATGCTGAGAATGGGGCCTGCTCATAGGAAAGTTTCAGTAAATTAATCTTATTACCTGTTTTCATTTGCTGTGTCTCTGCTAAGCATATACATCAGATGAGTAGGTTTACAGATTCTTCATTTGGTCTGTACATGCCTCCAAAGTGTTAGATTTGGTAAAGGTCTTAATTACTGACTAACTTCATTGTTACACAAGACTTGCCGATTTGTGAAACTTATAACTTAGGTTTAAGTTATAACTTAAAATATGACTATATAACTTAAAATATTATAATATTGGTAGGTGCCTGCAATAATTCTTGGGTTGGGTATTGTGTATGTGATGACACTGTTGGCAGTCTCACACACCTTTAATCCCAGAAACTTGGGAGGCAGAGGCAGGCAGATCTCTATGAGTTAGAAGCCAGTCTTGCTGTGGAATAATCTTCTTGTATACTGTAAAGATTTGTCACCCAAATTGATATAATAAAATGCTGATTGACCAGTATCCAGGCAGGAAGTATAGATGGGGTGACCAAATTAAGAATTCTGGGAAAAGGAAGGGTGAAGTCAGGAGTCACCAGCCAGATGCAGAGGAATAGAGAAGAGAATGCCTTACTGAGAAAAGGTACCAAGCCACGTGGCTAAACAGAGATAAGAATTATGGGTTAATTTAAGTGTGAGAGCTAGTTGGTAATAAGCCTGAGCTACTAGCTAAGTATTTATTAATTTGGGCAGTGGCTGCTGAGTATTAGAGTTCCTAGCAGGACAGTAATTTCTGCCTTATGGAGTGAGTTCCAGGACAGCCAGAGATGTTACAGAAAGAAATTGTAACTTGAAAAAACAAAACAAAACAAAATAACAGAGAGAGAGAGAAAGAGAGAGAGAGTGCCTGAGCCCTTTGCGATTAATATGTAATTCTCTTCTTTATGGTTGATATCCAGTTCTATTCAAATTAGATACTCTTGTGATGTATTATTTTTGTTTTTTATAAGTTTCTACTTAATAATATAATGAAGGAAACCACGCATTTTAAAATTTGTGTTTCAAAATCAGATGTTGCTGGGTGAGGTGGCACATGCCTTTAATCCCAGCATTCAGGAGGTAGAGGCAGGAGGATCTCTGAACAGAAGGCAAGTCAGGTCTACTATGAAGATAAGCCCTGTCTGGAAAAACCAAAAACAAACAAAAACCAAAAATGACACACACACACATACACACACACACACACACACACACACACACACACACACACCAAACAAACAAACAAACAAACAAACAAAAAACCCAAGGGTTCCAAAGCTTGCCTTTAATTCCAGTTTTGTATAAATTCCATCTAAAAACTGAAGAGTCTATTGTTGTAGACTTTTAACCTTGACCCCAGTTATAAACATAGAAGCTAGAGCACTCTGAGTATAAAGGCCTCCTTCACTTATAAAGTGAAGGCCTCCTTCACTTATAAACAATGTGGCCTTGATCAAATTACTTTTGCTCACATGTAACATAGTAGTACCTGGGATATGGCTGTCTTTCTGTGGGGAGTGAATGAGTTCTGTAAATTACTATCAGAGCCTGGACTAGAATGGCCCCACTCCAGCAGGTTAGCTCAGGCTGGACTCTGTCCTTCAGTGCGTAGATAATTCTCTGCCCGTTTGTATGGTAGATTTATCTTTACCACTGACATAATACATTTCTAAGATCACTTCCTTCCAACTACTTCAGTGAGTGTCATTATTTCTTGAGTAGTAGCTTGCTGATGATTTATAGATATGTTCTTATTTAGCACATCATGGAAAAAGGTGACTAAAGGCTAGTGACTTTACCTCACTTGGCCATCAGAAGAAAAAACTGGCATCCTATTTGATACTAGTGCCTACTTGATACTTTAATTCATTAGGGGGAAATGCCCCCATTTACATATTCCAGTAAACCTTGTTTTTTGTATTTTTATTATTACAACAGCATATGAAATGTTGATGACATTATGGCCTTATTTAGTTCTCTGCAGGTGGACTGGGCCAGAGACACACTGTTATGACCTTTTTAAACTGTAAACCAAATCCATGCTCTGTTTTCCAGGATTATATTTCAAGGTATTTCTTCTCAGAAACTATGCTGAATTTGTCATAGCTCATAAAAACAAAGTGTAGTTTCTAAACATAACTATTAGAAAAATATATCCACAGTGAGATGAACATGAATCAGAAGGGGTGTATCACCAAAGCTACTGCATCTTGTCCTGTTTCCACAGATTCCTCATTTCAGCACCAGTGGTCTTCCGCATCGGAGTGCCGGCAAACGTCACAGTCCAAGCCCACGGCCACACTGATGCCTTTGACGCAACCATCTCTGTAAAAAGCTATCCTGATGAAAACATCAATTACTCTTCGGGCTCTGTTAATTTATCACCAGAAAATAAATTCCAAAACTCTGCCATCTTAACAGTATGCATTTGGCTTTCCTTTTCAAACATATACCAGAATATTTTTGGTAAAATATGTATAATTTTTGAATACTGATAGCAGAGATCTACTCACTTGTATCAGTCTACTATTGTATAATTATTAGATGATTATCACTAACTGGTAACAATCTGAGTTTAACAAAATTCCTTTTTTAAAGGATTTATTTTTTATTTATGTGGATGTGCCTGTGTGAGTTTATGTGCAGGTATGTTCAGGTGTCCAAGAAAGTCAGAGGGCCTTTACCCAAGTCTCTCCAGCTTAGCACCTGCTTCCCAAAAGGTGAATGCATGTCATATGAGATTGTGGTAAGAGCTCCTGAAGGCAGAACCAGCCAGGCTAGGGCAGGTTAAGTCCTGTGGTGTTTGGATCCCAGGTGCTTCTGAAGTTTGGGGCCCATGGAGTTTCCTGCAGAGAGGCTGCAACAACAACAAAAATCCCAAACTTGCTTAGAGGCTTAGGGAAAAAGAGAGAACCTACCCAGTATAACCCCGAGGGAGCCCCCAGGGCAGTTCTGGCCTGTACTGGTGGAGGCAAAGCCACAGGCAAGCAGCTTTTTGTGAATTCTTGCCTTAATGTTGGGCACCAAAATGTAGGTTGAGTTCTAATAGGTCTTAATAATAAAGACCTGGAGTCAGATATAGGGGAAAGGCTGAAATATCAGAGAGACAAAGGAGCAAAACCACAGCCGCCTTACCTCCTCTACTTTCCAGCCAAAAAAGGACTGAGATCCTGTCTCTTCCGACCTACATTCCTCATCCCACCCAGCCATCTCACCTCCTGTCTGTTCAGACCTCCAGACTTCTGTGGTTAGCTAGTGAATAGCTCCGCCCTCTGATCTGCAGGCAAGCTTCATTTGTTAGAGTACAAACCAGCTATCACCACAACCTGGGTCCTCTGCAAGAACAGCAAGTGACCTTAACCACTGAGCGGTCCTTCCAGTCCCTGAGTTGAACAATATTCTCAACAGACAATTGTGTCTGCTTTTGAGCCATGCATATAAATATTAACACTTTTATTGGAAAATAAAATTGTATCAATGTGGAAACATTTGGAAATGAGTCAGTAAAAATTTTGCCTATGAAATTATCACTAAAAACAGCAATGAAACAAAAACATGCATGCTTTTAACATTTGTCTGAGACTCAGTTATCATTAAAGACAGTAAAGAAACAGAGTGTGTTTGTGGGGAGTGGAACCAGGGTCTCATGTTAGGCTGGCACTCTACCACTGAACTACAGCTATAGGCCCTGTAAAATGATTGGTTACTACAGTGAACAATGCTACAAAGACTAATTTTAATACAGATTGTTTACAAAAGTACTTGCAACCCATCTTACTAAAATTCTGATAAAAGTAAACCAGAAAATGAAAGAACCTTAGCTTCCGAAGATATTCTGTGGCTCCATAGAAATGGAAGTTTCTCTACAGTGAGTAACATATGAGGGAAAGTAAAAAAAGGAAAATGTTACAAAAAGGCCTAAAGTTAGAGTTCTATGGGTTTTCTAATATATTTAAGTTTTTATTTTAAAATCTTTCAATTAAAATGTCCTTTATATGTGTGTTGGCATGTGTGCTTGTTGTGCACCATGTACGTACGGGCCCCCAGAGGTCAGTCAGATCCATGGACACTGTAGTTACAGGTGGTTGTGAGCTACATGACATGGGGGGATGGAAACAAGCCCAGGTCCCATCAGGATCCTCAAACACTGAGCCATCTTCACAGTTTCAGTTTTAGTTTTTAAATATCTAAGAATTATAGGTGTAAGATTTCTGCTTTATTGACATATATAGATAGATGATAGATATATGAAATATTTATATGTATTACACCCTGCAAATGATTTTGTTTCATTGAAAACAACAAAATGTTAATGCTATGAATCTTCTGTATCCTTTATTCTTTAATGGTAATATATACTATTACTTATATTGGGAAACATTGCTTGGAATCAGTTCTAACCAGACATAGAAATTATTTCATTAATGCTCGTGAGAGTAAATGTAAAAAAAAAAAGTTTCCCAACTACTTGGTTTATGAAATTTAAAGTTCATTTCTCTAAACTCTTACCTTTTCTGGCCAGTCTATTATGAGGCATGGTAGCCACCAGCCACATTTGTCTTTAAAGCCAATCAATGAAATGCAGCTGATTTAATACTTGAGTGGCACTAGCCATGTGTTTGGACAGCACAGTTACAGGACATGTCCTTTACCACAGGAAATCCCACTGAGCCATGCTTATTGATCATCTCAGCAGCCTGAGGAGCTTGGAGGAGTTATGAACATCGACACATACACTTAATTTAATGTTAACACTATGAAGTGTCTCTTTGTCAATTAAATGCTTTGTCGAAGTCTTGTCCTTGAGTCCACTTTTTAAGTTGAATTTTATATTGTTAACGAATACTGGTTTTGTTTTCAATACATCCTGACTGCAGTTTCCTGTCTGTCCACTCCTCCCATTCCCACTAGCGCCCTCGCTCTCCCCACATCCACCCCTCCTCAGTCTCTCTTCAGAAAGAGCAGGCCTCACCAGAATAGCCACTGAGCATGGCATAGCAAGACTGGCTAAGACTAGGCACGAACTCTCACATCAAGGCTGGACAAGGTAACCCAGTAGGAGGAAGACAGTCCCAAGAGCAGATGAAAGAGTCAGAGACACCCCCATTCCCACTGGAGCCCCACAAAACAACAAGCAAAAAACCATGACAGAAGCTGTAGTTTGTTTGTTTTTAAGTTGAGAAAGAACTCAAAGACATCTATGATCATCTCAGTGAAGAAAATCCATAGACTTTTACTGTTTCCAAATTTTTTGTATAATCTCACAGCAGTTGATTTCGGTGTTTCTGAACCCTAATTTCTCATGGAAATACCCTTCCCTTTGATTATCCATGTTAATATATGTAGCCTCCATATCATTGAATATAAAGGTGATGATGGTAATTGCACACACAAACTGGAATGTGTGTGTCTGTGATGTGGGCACAGAAGCATGTGGTGTGATATGACCTGTCCAGATCATGGACCAGGATATTATGCAGAGAGAATGGAGAAATTAATTCATCCAGAAGCCGATAAAGCAAAGGTTTCTTCCAAGTTTCTTTACTAGTAGTTCTGTTAAATATGTCTGAAATTCAGGAAAAAAGGCACCAAAAAGATGTCTGACTGTTTATTGCTAAAATTTTATTGTGATATGACACTATGAAGGGAAATAGGCAAACTAAGGTTTTCTTTTCCTGGAGTGGTTTTAGTAAGCTTACTTGGTTGATTATGTTTCCTTTTCACATGGAATCCTAGATAAATTTAAAACAAGATCCTCCTGCCTCAGCTTCTGTAGTGCTGAAATGTAGTACTATTATTATTATTATTATTAATTGTTGTTTTTGAGACAAGGCTTGGAAAGCAATAATCTAGAGAGGGTGAGGATGTTGTCACCTGCTTAGACAGAGAGTTGTCACCAGAACTGTTGATCTGACTCCAACAAGATGATTTGGTATACCAGATGATAATCTCTGCCTAGAAGGAGATTCTAATAGTTTTGGCTGTCCTGGAAATAGCTCTGTAGTGTAACAGAGATCTGCCTTCCTCTGCCTCCCAAATGCTTGGATTCAAGGTGTGCACCCCTTTTAAATTTGATATGTATGGGTATTTTGCCTGCATGAATGTTTGGGTACCATTGTGTGCAATAACCACAAGGACAGAAGAGGGCAAAGGACCTCTGGAACTGGAGTCAGAGGTGGTTTGACTGCCATGCGGGTGCTGGGAACAGAACCTTTGAGTGCTCTTAACTGCTGAGCCGTCTCCCCAGCCCAGTGGACCTCTTTGAAAATGATGCAATACACAAGTTCAGTTTTAGTCTTATGAGATTACAATGGTTTTTTTTCTTACAGGACCAGCATGCTTTAGGACTTTACAGTCACACTTTCCCATTGTGCTGTTTGTTTGTTGTTTTACAGGTTCAGAACAAACAGTTGTCTGAAGGACAAAGCTCATTTTCATATGTGTATTTGGAAGTCATGTCAAAGCATTTTTCAAAATCAGAAAAAATGCCAATCATCCATGACAATGGCTCTCTCTTCATCCATACTGACAAGCCTGTCTACACTTCACAGGAGCCCGGTAGAGTATCTGATGCCTCTTTCAGGGGAGAATGACATAAATACGTAGAATTTTTAACATCTAAAATTGAATGGAGACCAGTTTCCACTTACTCAAGAGAAACTCAAATCCTAATGACCTTTATAAGCTTAAATAGCATTTGTAAGACAGTACTGTATGACTTCATATAACCTACAGAAGATCTCACTCTTTTGATATTATGAAAGCTCCAAAAAATAGTGGCCTGGTGACAGATATAATTAGTTTTATACTATATGCATGTTCCCAGCAAGTTGTATGTAAGTATTTTCATAGAGTATACTATCTTGTTCACTAGAAGGATTTGCTATAAAGTGAAGGAATCTTTATTAATACAAATATTTACCAATGACTTTCTTGTAAATATATGTTTTCATCTATGGATACTTATAGTTTTTAAATAAGATTTATCTCATGGAAGATGTTTCTAAAATATTTTATTATTCTTTGAAACTGTCTCCAAGTATATATTTAAATCATTTTCACCCTGAAGTTATTTGTTTCAATAATTAGAATTGCCCTTGTTTAACAAGGTTTTTTGACGATATCACTTTTTCCTGCAGTAAAGGTTGGCGTCTATTCTCTGCATGATGACTTAGAACCAGTTACAAGGGAAACTGTCTTAACTTTCATAGTAAGTATTTCCTTAGTCCCATGGTTCTTCCCTCACAGACGTATGGACTGAGCAGGGCTGCCCCATGGGAGAAACTTCTTAAAGTGACTTGTCACAAGAACAAATTTCATAAGTGCTTGCTTGCCGATCTGCTTTCCCATCCAGAGTTGATGCAGGGCAGAGCCCCTCTCCATACACTGAGGAGCAAAAATCTCTAGTCTTTAAACAATCACCTGATCCCAGATAGTCTTTATAAGAACAGAAAACAAACTAAGATGGGTGGATTTTCTTACTTCCCTAAAGGACCCTGAAGGATCAGAAGTTGACACAGTACAAGGAAACAATCACACTGGAATTGTCTCTTTTCCTGACTTCAAGATCCCTTCTAATCCAAAGTATGTAAAAAAAAAAAAAAATGTTTTCTGAAAAAACACACCTGTAGCTTTTGGTTGTGAGGTAGAGAAGTGGTCAGTGAAGCCACCTCCTGCTGACCAACGACAGCGCACAAGTGGCTATGTGAAGCCTTCCACGGGATATAGAAGGTAGGCCCACTTCTGAGCAAAGCAGAAATGCCAGATACCAGACACTGCCCAACGTATCAGGAGTCTCAGATTTCCAGGACATTGAAGGAAGAGGATCACTTAAATGTAGGCATTACTAGTCAGCTTCAGCAGATAGCAAACCCTGTTTCAATAAATGAATACACACACGCGTGCGAGCACACACACACACACACACACACACACACACACACACACACACGTGCGCGCGCACACACACACAGAGGATGAGTGAAAAAGAAAGAGGGAGAGAGATGGAGGAACTTCCAAAAATTTCCTATCCATTCTTTTTATTCTTTTTATATAGAGAGAGCAATAAACTTAAAGACAAAAAAAAAATCTTTAAGTAGTGTTTTTCCTCTTTAAAACTAACAGAGTATCCAGTATAGGGAGTGTTTGTTGGTTTGGGTTATACTCTATTGGAAGAGCACTTACGACTAGCAGCTGAACAGATATGGGTTTAATGAAAACCTGTGTGTGTGGGGGGGGCAGATGTATAGGAAATTTTAGTCTATTTGTCCTCATATGCAAGGACTTAAGACGATGTTCACATAGAAATTGAGAAAATACATAATTAATGTGTGTAAATCACAATAAGAGAGCAAGCTGCCAAACAGAAATCAAGCGTTCACAATCCCTGCTCCCAAGGAACATAAAGCAGGAGGCCTAAGACAAGGGCGGCTATAAAAGGCCACCACACAAATTTAAAGTAGAACCACTACACAGTCTTTGCTCCTCTGTCCTCTCTAGGGAGTTTGTAATTAGCTCATTTTTAATGAAAACACAGACCAAAATTGGGAGGTTGAAATATCTGGAAGATTTAAAATTATACAGTTTCTTAAATGCCATAGGCTCCTTAGTGCAGAATTGAGTTTGTTATGTTATTAGGATTCTTATTTCCCAGACTCCACCTCATGTCAGTTGTCCCATGGCAGATTATCAGAATCCATCATGGCTATACTCTCCTGTCTTAACAGCGTGGCATCTGCTGTCCTCTTCCTTGAGACATGGGGAGGCATGGGGAGGTGATACTTCACACAATGCCATCCCTGGATAAGATGGAATGTGCACTTAATTTTCTTTTTAGCTCTGTGTCTTATTCATTATTTATTTATGTGCCCCATCCTGTATTAGACTCTAAACTCCTTCATGACAAAGCCCTTGTCTGTAGAGTTCATTTTAGCTCAGCACTTCAGCATCGTAAGCCTGTGGTTAAATACTTGAACTGCTGATGCTATTCATGATAACTATGATATTCACCTTCATTGACCACATCCCTCACCTGCATGATAGATATTATTTTTCTCATTTTCCAAATGAGATGCGGTTACTTGACTGATCAAACCTGCTAGGAAAACTGTGTGAAAATCTGAATTGGCATGGACTGTGGTTCTTCTGCCTTGTTCTGTTTTTATAACAGTATAGTAGTCTTTACTTTTGTTTTGCTTGTTTGTTTTTTGGTTTTTTCAAGACAGCGTTTCTTTGTGTAACCCTGGCTGTCCTCAGTCTGTAGACAGGCTGGCCTTGAACTCTGCCTCTGCCTCCCGAGTGCTGGGATTAAAGACATGTGCCCCCACTGTCCAGTCTCACAAACTATTTTTGAATGAAGGTAGTTGGACAGGTTATTTCACTCTTTAAGTGAGCCTTGTTTTTTTCCAAATAAAATTCTGCTTCTATGAGGTGTGAATTCACTGGCATGCCACATATACAGAGACATTATTGTCAATTTTTACTATACTGTGGCTTTAACTTATGTAAATGAGGAAATCGCATCACTTCTCAAAAAATTACTATATTAAGGTCAAATATGTAAGAAAAGTAGACAATATGAAACACTAATTGTTAAACAATTTCTTTTCTTTTGAAATGTTCAGTTGTCTATTTAGTGTTTAAAATCTTTCCTCCAAACTTTTACTTAGGGTGTGTGCATGTGTGTGTGTATGTGTGTATGTATCCATATATATATATATATATATATATACATATATATATATATATATTCTTACCTCTCAAAATAGAAATTACTAGATTTCTTCTTGATAAATTAAAATTATTTGGTGCTATCTATGATTTCAAACATCTGGCTTCCACAGATATGGTAGATGGACAATTAAGGCTAAATATAGAGAAGATGCTTCAACAAATGGAACCACATACTTTGACATTAAAGAACACGGTAATCTTCCATCTAGACTTATTTATAAAACATTAGTTTTCCCCTGGTAATTATTTTCAGTAATGTAGCTGATGCAAACCCTTCCCAGGTGGGGACGGTCCCCCGGCCAGGGTGATGGGAATCCTGGTTGGGCACAGGGCTCGGGAGTCAGCGCTTGTTAGAGATTGAAGAAGGCCCACAACAATGTAGAATAGAATACTGTCATGGAGCTGTTTGAGAAAGAGCTTATGCCTTTCCCACCCCGTTCTGTCTCTCACAGATAAAGCTTACAAAATAACTCTCATGCCAATAAGTGACCTGCAGCACCAAGTGGGAATTCAAGGTACTGCAACACTTCCTTGACTGTTGAAGAGTCTGGGGTCAGCTTGCCTATATAGGTCCATGTTCAGAACAGAAGGGATGCAGTCCCTAGGGGAGCCTGGCCTAGGGAGGATCTTTCTAGGTTTATGATGTTAGGAAAAATAAGCAATTAGTGATGGGTCAAGTAGTTATGTAAACAAACGGTTAACTCTTAGTTTACCAGCATATTAAGGACAAGATCTGCTTTCGAGTAATATTACAGCGGCGTGACACTGAACACTCTTCCCCATTCCATCCTCTCCCTCACAGATGAAGCACAAGGTGTGAATCTCCAGCCAACACAGTACCTGGAACAGAAAATAAAGGAACAAGGTACTCCAAAAGCTGTAAACCATGCCGACTGTAGCATTCGCAGACAGAGAATATGACGCATGGGGTTTCCCTAGTTAAAACGCAACAGGTGGGGGAAAAGATGATGCGGAGGTTTAGTTCATCACTCAAAAATGTTCATTCAGGTAAACTCAGGATTTTATTGGCCACAGCCTTAACCTGAGGAAAACAATTCGATTCATTATTATTTTCATGTCTTAACAATCTAAAATAATTGTTTTCCCCAAATATGTATCTGGTGAGGGAGTCCTTTGATGGCAGAGAAAATAGCCCTTGAGATCCCTACAAGGTGTTACGACTGGTGGTGATAAGGACATGACTATTACATCATTTCAGCTTCTACATACAAACATCCAAGGCTAAAGAAGTGTTGTTATGATGGAGCTGTGCTTAATAAATATAAAACCTGTGAGCAACGAGCTGAACGTATAACAATAGGCCCCCACTGTGTCAGAGCCTTCTCTTCCTGCTGTACCCTGGCAAATGAGATCAGAGCTAATGACACCTTTAAACACATCCATGTGTCCAGGCATCACAGTAAGTACGGCATTTTCTATTGAAACCTTCTGTATAACTTTGTGTCAGTTAAGTTCTCTAAGAAGAGCAGATTTCAGGTCCTAGTTACTTATAGTTAAGAGTGGAAAGGCAGATAACTGTAACGCCCAGAGGAAATGATGTTGTGCTTTTGGGAACTGGAAACAGGGAAGTAGCAGCAGGGAACACTAGCCCAGAGCCAAAGCCCAGGGAAGGGAGGCCAGCCCCTGCTGCAGACTCCAAGGAGTGTTCACCCAAAGTCTCACACAACAACCCACCCCAGATAACAAAATGTGATCATTCTGTCACATTACAGTCACTAGAAGTTGAAATCTTACTTCAGTGGAAGCATTACTAGATGTTTCTGGATTAAAGGACTTCCTTAATGTTTCCAGACTTTAAGGACTCTCATTTATATACTGTCTTCAAGAAAACAAACAAGCAGAGATGCCTTCTGATTTTACTGATTCATTGGTGGCACACACCATTAATGCCACTCACTCCGGGAGTTCGAGACCTGCAATGGTCTACAAGAGCTAGTTCCAGGTCAGGCTTCAAAGTGAAATCTTGTCTTGAAAAACTAGGAAAAAAAGGATTTTAGCATTAAATAATATTATTTATTAAGCCCTACCTACAGAAGCTGAAACATCAGATTTCTAATGCACTTTGACACTTTCCATCTGAGCCCCGTAATAACCTTATAAAGGATTTAGTTTCACTAATTTTCTTTTATGGTGTTGTATGTATAGGTATGCATGCATGTATGTGTATGTTGTATATGCATGTGCTGGTGTAGGTTTGTGCAACCACACATGTGGATGAAGATCTGGGTGTCCTCCTGAATTTCTCACTACTGTGTTTTTGAGACAGGGTTTCTCACTGAACCTGGAGCTCCCTGATTTGTCTAGGCCACCTGGACAGTGACCTACAGGGCCTTGTGTCCCTGCCTTTCCAGTGCTGGGAATGCAGATGTGCACATCTGTGCCCACATTTGCATATGTATTAGAAACCCAAACACTTTACCCACTGAGTGTCTCCCAACTACTATTTCCTCTAACTTAAAGAGGGCATTGAAACAAATTAGAGATAATTTAGGGACATAAAAGGCAAGTTTAGGCCCATAGACTTCTATTCTATGAGTAGTATGAGTTTTTCAACTTTAATACAAATTCCATGAATATTTTACTTAGGAAATGTAGCGAGTGTCTAACTGTATTGAATATGTAACTGTGAACAAACGGAGAAGAGGGTGCTCACAGCACTGTTGCTGCCACAAAGAATGCTGAGACGCTACCCAGGGAGAGCTGAAGACCCAACAGCACACGCTGCTGTGTGCCATCTGCTGCCCAGATGCTCAGATGTCTCTTCATGAAATCATCGTGAATGACCAGTTTTGCCACCAGATCGTGAAGCTTCTAAAATGATACTTTGCTTATAAATAAAGATCATAATCAGAATACTTAAATCAATGAAGTATTATTACCCATGTTGAGAAATTTTCAATGATGAAATTTTCCCCATGGTGCTTACAACTTACCTTTCTATTTATATCCCTTGGCCAAGTTTCTATACTAGGCCATTTATTTCTATCCTTCCCTATTTTCACTTTTATTTTCTCTGCAGTTATTTATACCAAGATCAATTCCTTTCATGTAAATTTTATTTTAAGACAGATTCCTTTTTTGTTTATTTTTTATTCATTTTTCCTCTTAGGGACTTCAATTGCTAGTTGTTTGAATTTTTGAGCATAATAATTTAATAAATATAGCCTAGAGTGTGTAGACATCAGGATTTTCAAGGTTTGGTGGGATACAAAGCCCGTTAGTTATATGAACTCAGTTAACAAAATCCCTTGGTTTAATTCCTAGCACGAATTAATAAATTCAAGATTTAATTCTTGCACCATGTTTGTAGCATGTTTTCTATGTGTAGTATTACCCATTGTCTCTTTTGTTGTATTTATTTCTCTCAGAATGATCATTAAGAATTTGAACCAATCTGGGCGGTGGTGGCACACACACTCCTTTAATCCCAGCACTCGGGAGGTAGCGGCAGGAGGATCTTTGTGAGTTTGAAGCCAGCCTGGTCTACAAAGCTACACAGAGAAACCCTGTCTCAAAAAACTAAAAGGAAAAAAAAAGAGTTTAAACCAACACTGAGAGTATTTTTGTAGCAGTGAGCAAAGGACATAAAAGTAAATGAAATCAATCGAGTTGAATCTCTTTAGTGTCAGAAACCCTGGTAGAATGAAGCCATGCACTGCAAATGATATCTTGGGATAGTTCAGACTGAAATAGAATTCAGATAAAATTTGATGCTCAAAATGTTTTGCTTCCTGGTATTATTCCACACACACATAAATGACTCCAAAGCACAAGGGCAGGTTTCATGAAAATGTGAGTCTATCAGTGTATATGCACCAAATATCCCTGTTCTAAGTGATTCCTTTCAGAATACTAGGGAGCATTAGTGTGCTTTTCCAGCAAGGAAGACCCTGCCTAAATATCCTTAGAAGCAGTTAGCTGACTTTGTTGCATAGTAACTGAATTCAAATATTTTTAATAACTTTTGCCCTTTCTCTGTCTTCCCTTTTGGATTAGAGCAGAAAGAATATACCATAATTTTAATATTTTCCCGAACTCTCTATGTACTAACTGGAAGACAAATGAGTAAATTATCTACGTCACATATTCTATGACATAAAGCCCACAGCACAAATATGCTCACCAGGGGCTGCTGTGATCAGTCAGAAAACCTTCCTGTGATCCTAGACAGTCCATGGTGGACTCTCATTGAGCACACTTAGTAAGTCTCCTAGACTTACTCTCTTGGTGACCCTTAGTGGAAGGTAACACTTCATACTAAGAAGCTCAAATTATCCAACACAAATTTGTCCAATGTTGTCTGCCTTTCCCACTTCTCCTCTCCCCTTTATGAGATATAATTCTTCAAAACCAGGTGCTATTCTATAAAACCTCACCCTCTTCCATTCTCTATGGCACTCAATGTCCCTCTCACCTCAGCCTTTGCCTCCAACTTTAAGGCAGTCCCTTTATATGACATATGCATTATGCACTGACTGCACCCCAAGTGTGGCAGGAAGCAATGGGGCCACAGTAGTAAATTAGACAATTTTTCCCCACTGCATAGAGCTTGTATTTGTTGTGCATAGATCCTAATGCTTTGTTTTCAGTTGTACTACAGAGCTATAGCAACAAATACAGAGACAACCAACAACATAGTGTGATGCCAGCACAAAAACAGATACAGAGACGAATGGAATAGAGGACACAGAAATAAGTGCAGGAAGCTACAGACATCTGGTCCTAGGCAAAAGTTCCAGAGTATATGCTGGAGAAGACAGCCCCTTTAACAAACGGTATGGGAAAAGCAACATGTCCATGTACAAGAATGAAAGTAGTGTTTCACCATGTAGTGAAATCAATTCAGACTTCAAAATTTGAACCACCAGTGAAAAATACGGGAATATTTTAAGATCTAGAGATAGGATAGGCAAAGGATTTTCTGAATGGAAAATAGGAGCAAGAGTTCACAAATGGACCTACAAGAAATGAAGAATCTGCACACCAGTCTGGGCAGATGACTTGATGGGCAGAAGCACCTACTCTGTAAGCAGGAGGGTCTATGTGTAAATCTTTAACAACCGGGTGGGTTCTGTTGTTGTTTGTTCTTCGTTCTTGTTCTTGTTAGTTTGAAAGCCAGTGTAGTGGTCTGAATGAAAATGGCCACCATAGGCCCATAGGGAGTAACAGTATTAAGAGGTGTGGCTTTATTGGAATAGGTGTGGTCTTGTTGTATGTAACAGGTATGGCCTTGTCAGAGGAAATGTGTCCCTGGGAATGAGCTTTGAGGTTTCAGATGCTTCAGCCAAGTCCAGTGTCACTCTCTCTTCCAGCTGCCTGACAATCCAGATGTAGAAGTCTCAGTTACCTCTCCAGCACCATGTCTGCCTGAATACCTCCATGCTTCCTACCATGACAATAATGGACTAAACCTCTGAACTGTAAGCCCAATTAAATGTCTTCCTTTGTAAGAGTTACTGTGGTCATGGTGTCTCTTCACAGCAATAAGAACCTTAAGACAACCAGGCATGTAATGCATGCATGTGATCCCAGCATTAGGAGTATGGCAAGCTTCCAGTTCAGTGAGAGACTATACCTCAAGGCAATAGGAGAAATACAATAGAAAGCACCTACCATCCTGTCCTCTCCATGTGTGTACATGAGCAGGTGCACCCACACACTCAGATGTACACACACTATACATACTTACATCACTCACATGTACGTGCACCCCAAAAAAGTTGTACAAGTAAGTAAAGTGTAGATCGAAGAGGTGGCAGACAGAAGGGAGGAAATCTTTACCATCCATTAATCTCACTGGGAATTATTAGTCAACGTGTAAAGAAATGGAAAACTCAATTCCAAATAAACAATTCAACTATTGAAGGAGTAAATAATTTGGATGCAATTTTAAACAGAAGTACAAATGCCAAGAAACACAAGAAAACATGCTCGCCACGACTGTGACTTGAAGAGTCAAAAACAAACATCTATTCACCAAGATAGAGTATCTATAACAGATCAAAAAAAAAAAAAAAAAAAAAAAAAAAAAAAAAAAAACCAATTCTACTCAAGTCTGTCTTGGTGAGCTGAAGAGTTCATTGGTGTTACATGAGTATGGGGTGATTTGAGGCAACTGATTGCCAAAAGACCCACCCTAATGTGGGTAAGGAATCAAGAAAGCTGCATCATTGGGATTTCCTGCCAAATTTCCAGGCATCCCCCACTAAGCATCTCTTCTCCTCTAGCAATTGTATATTGCTCACAAAAATTCAGGGAGCGTTCCTGGTAATCTGGTAATCTGGTAATCTGCCTTCTGAGTCTAGTTTCATACACTTCCTGAGCCTTGTGAGTTTCCTTCAGTGTTGAATCTTATGAACCTCCCACTCTTCTCCTGAATGGTTCCATTTGGAGGAAATGGCTGCATTAGTCATCAGGGAAATGTAAATCAAAACTACATATAGATTGTGTTTTACCAATCAGAGTGGCTATCATCAAGAAATTCTGGGGAGATTGTAAGGGAAAGAAAATCAGTATGAAAGTTTCTTAAAAAACTAAAACTAGAATAGTCATATGTTCCCCATACAAATCCTGGGTGGGAACCCAAAACATAAAAGTTAATATATGAGAGAGATAGCTGCAAATCCACGTTTATTGCAGCAGTAATAACAACAGTTGATTTTGGGGTCAGCCTAAGTGCCTAGCACTGGATGAAGAATAAAGAAAATGTAGTATAGAGACATGATGTAATTTTATTCAGCCATAAAGAAAAATAGAATTGGGGCTGGAGAGGAATCTCAGTGGTTAAGAGTGCAAAGGTTTGCAAAGGATCCAAGTTTGATTCCCAGCACCTTTATAGAACCTGTAACTCCAGCTCCAGGGAATCTGTGCCTCTCTGGGTTCTGAGGGCACCATCACTCACATATGCACATAAACACACTCATATCATACACACACACACAAACACACTTAAAAACAGATTGTTTTCAAAAGGTAAGAAAATTACATTTGCAAAAAAATGGATGAAACTGGAGAGTAACATGTTAAATGAAATAATCCAGTCTCAGAAAATCAAGGTAAAAATCTGTTTTCTGTAATATACGGAGTCTAGTATCTTATTTGCTTTTCTATTGCCATGACAATGGCACTGTGATGAAGACACCTTATAAAAGAAAACATTTAATTTGGGGGATCATGATTCCAGAGGATTAGAGTCCATGGCCATCTTGGTGTGGAACGTGATAGCAAGAAGGCAGGCATGGAGCTGGAACAGTAGCAGAGAGCTCATGTCTGATCCATAATCACAAGCCAGAGAGAAAGGGACAGAACTAACTGGGAATGTCATGGGCTTTTGAACCCTCAAGACTCATCCACAATGACACACCTCCTCCACCAAGGCCACTCCTCCTACTCCTTCCCAAACTTGTCGCATCAACTTGGAACCAAGCATTTAAATATGTAGGAAAAATACTCATATGCATAAACAAAATATTTTAAAAAATAATCTTATGGTGCTGGGCATAGCAGTACACAAATGTAAATCTAATATCTCAATAGAAACATGAAAAATAAAAGACCCAGAGACAGATATTAGGGTTCAACCTGAAGGTCAGGGAAGCAAAGCAGCCAAGCTACCAGAGAGCTCTTACTTCTTAAAGTGCTGGGGCATTCTCATTCTCATTGTGGCCTCTTATCCTCAGTGTGGCTGGAGAATCAATGCCTGATACTGCTTCTGTCTTACACACTTCCCTAATGCTGGGATTAAAGGCATATGATCCCAGATGCTGAGATCATCTTTGTGTGAGCTGTTTCTCTTTAGGACTGAATCAAACTTGTCTAGATCTGGGTGGCCTTGAACTCACAGAGATCTGTCTACCTCTTAATTTTGCATTATAGGATTAAAGGTGTGCACCAGCACCTCTAGCTTCTGTCTTATGAGATTAAAGGTGTGTGCCTGGCTTCTGTGGCTTGTGGCTGACTTTGCTTTCTGAATCCTCAGGCACACTTTAATAAATTATAAATAATGTATCACCGCAATTCCTCTATTTTGTCTAATACGAA